GACACTTTAACAGGAAGGGAGATTTTAAGACTTTACGCCAGAATGAGGGGGATTAACGAGAAGGAGATCAGTCGCGTCATTAATGACCTATTGGACGCAGTGACGCTCACAAAATATGCAGACAAACTGTGTGGGACATACAGGTACAAACATTGTGTATCTGTGTTTCCTCTGTTTAAATTTTTAGCAGCTAGAATAAGTGTGAATCATACTTTCTTTTTTTTTAAATATAATTTCTATCCAATCTTAAACAACATTGTTAAAAAGACTTTCTAATATATTTATTTTTTCCTCTAAAATAATATTCCAAAAGTTTTAACTTCTCGCAACAAAATTCATATATTCCGTAAATAGAAAAAAAATATAATGATTCAATTTATTTGTTCTTTTGTTAAAGTGGTGGAAACAAAAGGAAATTGAGTACTGCCATTGCATTGATTGGAGATCCTCCAATCCTGATGCTGGATGAACCGACGACGGGCGTGGATCCAGCCGCGCGAAGGCAAATGTGGAATGTACTTTCTAAGGTCCGAGCCAGTGGAAGAACGCTTGTTTTAACGTCTCACAGGTAGAATATTATGCCCCTGTAGTAAAAGATTCGGAAGAATTGAGTTTTTGTCCTGCCCTTGTTTTTGTCCGTTATTTTTTTTTCACAGGTATATTTCTTGTGACAAAACTTTCCTTTGCAATTTTATCATCATGTCCTTTTGATCGTGACCGTGGAGTTTGTCCTTTAAAAAAATATGTAATCTTGACCAAAATCAAAAAAAAATCCTTTGCTAGGGATTTAATATTTCAGATATAGTTTCCTTTTAACAAGCCATTACTTTGGGTTTCATTAATTTTGGCTCTTTTACCTTGAACTTGGAGTTTTGCCTAATTTTTCACAAATTCACGGATAAAAAGTTTCCTTTTCACTAAACATAAACACAAGTAGGAAAATATGAAGAGTAATAGGTATTTCTTGATAACTATTTCTGTCTCAATCTTAAAAATTTTGTTTTTGTTTCAATTTTTTCTGTTACGAACATTATCGTAATACACAGAGCAGTCAGAATATGCTTCATTATTTGTCCTCTATTTGTCTTTTGTAGTTTTGAAATTGAAAATGCAAGTCCAACCAAGTTTTATCTGATTTCAAAGCATGGGCTATTTTTATATTTTTTATTTTATCTGTAAATCATGGTAATTTATACAAAATCATGTTTCTTTGAAAGAGACGATATAACTTAAAACAGATAGAAATGAATAGCTCTTTCAAAAAAATTGTTTTGAAAACATTTTCAACATTGAAATGGTTGTTAATGTCCATATAATTTAAAAAGTAAGAATTTGTTTTTAGCACATTGTTGCTCCTTTTCCTACCAATAAGATGATTTGAAAGTAAAATCTGTCAGTATAATATAATAAACTATTTTTACTTACCATTAGCATGGAGGAGTGTGATGCCCTTTGTACCAAAATAGTCATTATGGTTAACGGAAGATTCGTGTGTTTTGGTAGTCCCCAACACCTAAAGAACAAATTTGCACAAGGTTACACCTTGACGGTGAGACTAGAACGTGACAATAACGGAAACGCAGTGGATTCTGGTCCGCTATGTAATCATATAAGTAGAGAGTTTCCAGGAACCGAAGTTTTCGATGATCAACAAGGCTATCTCGATATTCACATTCCACATCAAAAATTATCATTAGCAAAACTTTTCAAAGAAATGGAGAAAACAAAATCTGAATATAATGTAGAAGATTATTCAGTACATCAGACGTCCCTGGAGCAGGTGTTTCTTGGGTTCACGAGGATGCAGGTGCCCCCAGTGGACAGAAAGAGGGCGTGCCCTTGTTGTTTCTGTTGTAGGTCGAAACCAGCTTCATAAAGCGAAGGCGTAGGCCTCCCGGGTGACAGAACTTTGATATCCATCTTCTGATTTATATGCATTTAAGTATCTATACTCAAAAAGTGAAAAGATCTAGATCTTCATATTTTTTTCTTTTTTGGAAATATATATGAGCTCATTGTAGATAGTTGGGAGACAACTCATGTTTACAAATAGTATGTTATAATGTTAAGCATTTTTTATTTACAAAAAATATTCGAACTTTCTAAGAAGTAATTAAACATCTGCTGTGGAGTTCAGCTTCTAGTATAAGTTAAAGATATATCGACGATGTATTATCAATTAACAAGAGTTTCTTCAATTCAAATTTCGACTCGAAGTATCCCAGTGAATTAGGAAACGGTACCACAAAGTCTGACACATCTATGTCATATTTCGCCATTTGAGTTGATTTTTTTAATTGTAATCTAGCAAAAGAAATTTCAATATAGTGGTGATGACTTCAACTTTCCTGTCTTATGTAGCAATATACACTGTGCATCTTAATTACATCTTAATTACCTAGGTAAGAGATTTTTGTTTTCCAGTTCATTCAATACAGATGAGGATGTTGTATACCAACGAACATTTTGTTTAGCGAGGCAATCTATTTACAAACAATTACATAAAAACGAATATCAACAGCCTCATTTAAAGTCATCATTTCGAAAGTAAGTTCTATCGGCGACAAAATGACCTTGTCAGGAAATACAATTTAATTTATCATTAAATCGAATGCTGCCTGAAGGTTGTCATACTTACTGTATTGAGTTGTCTGTGGATTTTTTTGCTTTCCTAATCATGACAAGGAACATTCATCACGTGTGACCGGTCGACAGGGGATTCTTACTTCTACATGGTACCTGATCCCAGGTCCTTGCTTGTTCTGCTCTCGTTTTTTTTTATTGTTTCAATGGACTTCGGCGCTTGATATCTGTCTTTTAACCACATATTTGATTCTCGATGTATGTTAATTAAAGTTACAGAGAAATTCCTACATTAAACAACAAACCAGTGTGGGTCAGCTTTTTGTTAGGTAACCTTAGTCTTCTCCACTGAATTTGGTATTACTAGTAAGTGATCAATCTAAGTTCAAAGGTATGATGAGCAAGTGTATATATTAAAATATTGTCAATTTCATGGCCCATTATGATGCGTTCTAGTGTTACGGTATAGCGTTCTGTCGAAAATGAAATGCACATTTTTTTAAATTCTTCATTGACTGCTCTAGGATTTTTAGCTGATAAACTAACTTAATGCGCATAATAATGATAAGCAATTGTGCTCAATTCAAAATTGTGAGTTTCCTGACCCCTGTTTAAGGGATTCTAGTGTTTGAGCAGGTCTGTTTAGAAAGTATAAAAAGTGGAAATAGATAAATTTTTTTGAAAAGTCGTCACTTCCGTCCCTTGGATATCTCGAGGTGTTCAAACTACAAAAGGTTAAGGAAGAAGGGCTTATAACCAGCTCTGTGAAATTCTGGACCACTTGTCCAAGTGCCCTGGTGTCACCTTTCCATCAGGGAGCTGTATAGCATTACAATACAAAAGACATCAAGGGACGGTGCATTTACATTATACGACTTTCCTGGATGCCTATTACTATTTACTACTTACAAAAGATTATAAGCAAGATATACAATGTCTTGCAAGCAAAATTATGTCTAAAACTTCATATACAACATCAGTAGCCTGTATTGATTTTTTTATTATAACTGCGTAAATTCATTCGTATGTAGAAAATTTGCCGTCAAAATGAAAGTAGGAAAATCTCATCTGCATATCATACCAATTGTGCACAAATAAAAACAATGAACGAAAAGTATTATTTAATGGCATAAGAGCAAATTATTTGCTACGTTTTCTGTTTACATATAGGTTTCAGAAATATTGGAGTTGTACCTATGCAATCATAAACGTATAGTATCAATATAACATCCTAGGTAAAATATATCTGAAAGACTGGCATTCGACCTCGCGCTTGCATTGTTTTTGTACTGTAAAAATCTCAATACTTGCACAAAAACACCCTCAATAATCTTTATGCACCCCTCCAACACTTCTGTGGACATTGTTTACGTTCTTGCTAATGTTATCAAACTCCATACAGTGTCAATTCTCCGGGACTACTTTCGTGCCCTACGAATAATGATATGGAGTTGTAGCGTAACGTAATACTGAGCTGTCTGGAGCTTGTTCTGGACTGATACTTTATAGATGAAGGATTGAAGATGGACCCCAGTCAAAATCACACTAATGTTTTTATCAACAAACGCATGTACATGATAGGTAATTGTACTGTCCAATAAGATCATAATTCAACTGACTAAAGAGAGAACACCTTTTGCTCATTCGAACACTTTTCCTTAAAAAAATGATATAAAAATAAATAAAAAGATGATACAAAGTATATACATTATATATATATGCTTACAAAACAAAACACCCCCACCTCTTAAGAAAGATAAACAAATTAAATCTTGCAAACAAAATTAAAATCTAGAAAAAATAAAATATTGAAATGTGTTACACTCAGGTGGCTATTTAACTAAAGAAGGTGTGCTCACTCCACGAGGAGACGTTCTGATGTATGATAAGAGGTGTTCCACATGGAAACCTGCCGCGCCCCTCCTAACCGCAAGAATGTATCACTGCTTATGTGTCATCAACGGCCAGATTTATGCCCTGGGTGGAATAGGAGAAGACCACAGGTTTGACCCATAAATTGTCACTCTTTTTCAAATTTAACAGTGATATATTTGGAAATATTTAGCTTTTTAATTTTTTTGGTCACATTATAAAACACTTCTCTGCTTCTTTTCAAACAGTACAATGTATTTTAAAAACAAAATTACTGCAGAAATTAATTTTAATTTAAGATCGTTGTTTATCTAGACTTACTCAAAATTTTACGGTGGAATCAATGGAGGCAATAAAAGAACGTTATTATATAACTAGTGCTAATTGTAACGGGGACCGTTACAGATGTTCCCCAAACGCTCCCCAACTCCCTTTTGGTGCCATATTCCCTGTAAGCTTCATTAAATACGACAAACTCGATGCATTTGAGACTTTAATAACGTTTACCCAGAAGTGTACAAAGTTCATTCAAATTTTGAGTGCGTATGTGAATGCATGTGCGTAATGACCATATCATCTTGTCTACACAATTTATATATACTAAATATTAAAGCATTTAATCCAAAAGTAATAAAAAGATACGCTCATTCAAGTGTTCTTTTATTTATTTTGCTCATTTCACGTGCACGCACGTGCATACATGAGCATGGTGACCATATCTTCTTGTAGATGTCCGTTACATCTATCTATGTTCTAAATCCCAACCCGTTTGGTTGAAAACCAAGGGAGTTATAGCTGTTTAAAGTTTCAGCCAATCAGAATGCAGCGCAGGTACATGCACGTGTATGCATGTGCATGGTGACCATACCTTTTGTAGTAGTCCAGTGTATCTATCTATGTTCCAAATCCCATCCTGTTTGGTTGAAAATCAAAGGAGTTATAGCTATTTAAAGTTTAAGCCAATCAGATTGCAGCGCACGTGCATGCACGTGTTTTCATGATAATTGCTATATATCTTGTTGTAAGATATCCTAATGCATGGCTATTTTTAAAATTTCAAAGGATTTCGTCAAAAAATAAGAAAGATATTGAGACTTTAGTTTCAGCCAATCAGAGCAAAGCGCACGTGCATGCGCGTGAGATCTTGCTATTTTGACCATGTCATATTGTCTATGCTTCTAATATATCCTTATATTATAAGTTTCAAAGCATTTCATCAAAAATTAAAAAAGTTACGCCTATATCAATTAAATCGGTCATTTCACATGTTGCACGTGCACGCTCTTGCAAGCACGTGCGCGCAAAATGACCTTCGTTCCGCAAATCTACATAACATGTCTACTGACCCTAAAAACATTTCACCTTAGTCGGATGTATAGTTTACGAGATCATTCCCGGACAAAAAAGTACCCAGGAAGAAGAAGAAGAAGAAGAAAAAAAATAATAATAATAAGAAGAAGAAACAGAGTAAAAACAGTATGTTCCCCAACTTCGTTTGGGGAACATAATTACTGCATGTAGTTTAGTGTAACATTAAACACACCCCCAAAACCAACACCCCACCCCTAGGAAACTATTGCTAACAATAGTTTTCGAGTCGTGAATTTTTTAACGGTTATATAAATTATCTGACTTTATTCCGAAACTCTGCACATTTTCATTTACTTTTTCTTTTGAAAAGCTTTTTAATATTGTTAATTAAAACATTTTTGTGACGTCATCTTTTGTTGAACCTGGTTCAATAAATTTGTTATTGACCTGCACCCCGTCCAATAAGTTACCTGTAGGTGTCCAATAAGATCCAACTTATTGGACAGGTACAGGTAACGTTAAAATGAGAACAAAAGACGAGGCAAATAAGTAAACACCACCTAAAAGACAATGACAAATCAGACAATTTAATATAAACAATGTAGGAAATTAGTAGCGTTAAATGTTAATATTTCACAAAAAATCCTATTGAAAATGGCACAAATAATCCAGTGAATTGAATGTCTCAGATTCATTATTGTAAACGCATCCGTGGCTCCGATCATAAATTTCCTAAATTCACCGTTCATTTCTATATATTTACATTTCCAATGTCTTTGTCCGAGATAAAATTACCAATTGTAAATGTAATTTATTTCCTCATGAATGTCTTGGCGCGGTTCCAAAAAAAAACCACGTGTAGGGCGGGACAACACCTAGAGAGAAGCAGGCTTGGAGCCCGTGGATTGGCGGAATCAAAGCATGTAAATATAAGGAATAACTGTCAGATTTTTCGAATTCATGAAGATGATCAATGGATTGGCTTGTGTGATAATTTTATGCATAAACGCCTTCGGCGTTTATGCAAATTATCACACAAGCCAATCCATTGATCACTTCATGAATTCGAAAAATAAGACAGTTATTCCTTAAATAATAGATTAATTTCACAATGATTGATCCACGAAACATGTATAGAATCCAATGGACACAAAAGATGAATGAGAAGCATGTGTTTTCTTACACAAAACCTTGGGCTTTTTGTTTATATATTCAAATATCCGTTTCTCCGCATTTAGCACAAAATTTAGCTCACGAAATTCCAACGTGATTTATAACCATTTGTCCACCTAGTCCTGTGTCGTTTAAGCGAGTATCTGTCGTTTTAAGGAGTGGCTGGAGCAAAATCCTTCCGAGTTCGAAACCTGCTCACAAAATAGAATTGCATTTTTAAAAAAATACATCAGGAATAATCTCCCAATTTCATAGAAAATGCTTTAATAAACAGTTGTTTGAGTAAAATTCTTCAAATCCTATTGCTTTACAAAAATTACCTTTTAACGGGAACTGTTTCTTGCAAATTCCAAAACATAAGAATATATATCCGGATTTCACAGTAAAAACCTGAACTGAGGCATCTTGGTGTAATCAATATATGGCATCGTCAAAACACCCGATTCTGAAGGTCTTTTTTTCGAAATTAAAATGTACTTCTTCATCCGTGGTCGTTGCGTTGTAAAATGAATAAATTGTAAAGAGTTTAAAAGAACTGACTTTTACGCATGCGTAGTATATATAAAAAATGTCGCAATGCGGATAAATAAGACTAAACAAAGTTAATTTTCACATTTATCGATATAAAACACCTGATTCCTACTATTAATAAAGACAGAAGAAAAACCAAAACTGGTTTTCTTTGGCCTAACTTGATGAACAGTGCCAGGTAGTCATCCAAGCAGAACGAGACCTTACCTGTGACTGTCCAATAAGTTAATAATGGAAGTGTTCGACAATGGTGAAATGTTTTAAGTAAGTTATAGGCCTCAAACTGACCATTATGTCAGATATTAGACTCTCCTCGGCGCTAACGCGCCTCGGGTCGTCTAATATCTGACATAATGGACAGTTTTCGGCTTATAACCATTACTTAATAGCTTCTACGTACACACTTCAATATGCTTAAAATGTTACTAAAATACTTCATGAGCTTATGCTTATTTAAAGTATTCTCAATTCAGTGGAGTGTTACAATCCATCCTTTAACTGCTGGTACTTTGTCAAGGCAATGACGGAAGGGGGGATGGGCGCATGCGCGGCAGAATTTGGCGGACAACTTTATATCGCTGGTGGTTATGGTGTTTCAATGGGAAAATCAGAACCATTTTCAATTTTGAACAGTGTAGAATGTTTTCATCCCCATTCGAACAAGTATGAATTTTTATTTAGTTATCTTAAAGTTTAACTTTTTCTTCTCCCTGTCTTTTGAAAACAAAACAAGCAAAGTTTTATTTTAATATTCATTTCCAATTTTACCAGGTTGACACCGAAACTAAATATGCGCTACGGTCGTTGTTATGCCAGTCTTGTGTCTGTTGACCAGTCTTTATACTTATGTGGAGGTTATGCAATCAACCCGAGATCACATGACCATTAGCTGTCAAGCGTGAGTGATATAGATGATTACAACATCGCAAACGATACATGGTATTACAGGAATCGGTTGTACACAGATAGACATGATGCGGCTTGTTTTATGTCTGCATGGTAAGTCTGTAAAAATCAGGTTTAGAGCCGATAAGAATATATATTTATGTTTGTGAAGAATTTTTGGTGTCCTAATGTACATGTATGCTTTGCTGAAGAAATCCACATTCAGTAGATATTCTCTGGTTGTTTAATGTTTTACATGTAACCTGTCGATTTATTATCGGGCACCTTTAGCCATGAACTGGTTTCAGTATACAGGCTGAAGGTTGGATTCAGGTCAAATGTCAAGGTCAAGAGCACTGAAATGTTATAGAAATGTTGAGTCAAAATGCATTTCAAATCTATTTCACTTTGTTAAGAAATGCATATGGAAAAGCAGCGCATTTTGTACTTAACCAAAGGCACATGATACTAGAACTAACCAGCCTGTATAATGATACAAGTAGCATCGCAAGCCAAGAGTTTGCTTCACTCTCCACAACCGAGAGCTTTGTGGACGGAAACCCTTCGCTTGCGAAGATTTTGTAAGGAAGGTTGAGAATTGGAACATCCCTTGTACGATTTCATACCTTGTACGATATAAAATATAAAATGATTTGTTATACCCCCCGCAAACGAAGTTTAGGGGGGGTATATTGGAATCACCATGTCCGTCTGTCCGTCCGTCCGTGTGTCTGTTGACGAGATTTTGTCCGGACCATTACTCAGAAACTATTGGAAGGAATTGTTTGAAAATTTGTACACATATTATTCACGAAATGAAGGTGTGCACCTGATATTTCCATCTTGATTGGATGATTATTTTGAATTTTACATGTTTTTTTTCATTTTTATTTTATGGTTTTGTGCAGACCGTTTCTCAGAAACTTTTGCCAGGATTTATCTGAAAAACATACACTTATTATTCACCATATGAAGGTGTGCACCTGGAATTTTCAATTTTATTTGTTCATTTCTCTGCATTTTACAGGTTTTATTTTTTATTTTAATTGACTTGTTCATTTTGGGCTCATGTAAAAGGTTTGAGACATAGAATCTAGAATATCTGTACAAAAATGTGACCTACAGCTTAAATTAACTTACTCAAGTTAATTTTTAAAAAAAAACGTCATCAAGTGTGAAAAACAGTTTTTTTATTATACAGAGGATAATATGTAAATTCATTTGTCTCTTGGGAATAATGACTGGACATGCATCCAGTTAAAGATATAGATTAATGAGTTTGGTGTGGGAAATTGTTAAGGCATCTCTTATCAACCATGTTTTATCTATAATTTCCTGGGAATTTGGCACAAGAATTAAAGATCTCTCTTCTCTTATTCTCTTAATTGTAATTTATTGTCTGTTAGAGCACTTCATTACTGGATGACCAGCTCTTTATTTTCAAAATTAATTTGATATAAAGAATATCAAGATTAGTTTGATTTTGTATAATATGATTTTTTTTCAACAATCAGTTTGCAGAGTATCATGACACATAATTGCAATATATTTTTTATTGCAGAAAACATGTAACAATGGAATTACCATGTATTAGTATTGATGTTTCATTTGGTTGTACCTTTGTTTCATTCATTTTTTTTATTAAGGTCCTCCGTCTTCAGCGGAAGACCTTGTTATTCTTAGGTTTCTTTTTAAGGTCTTTCGTCTTCAGCGGAAGACCTTATTGTTTTTCTTCGGTTTCTTTTTCACTTTTATTAGGTCTTTCCACCTTTCTGTGGAAAGACCTATTGATTTTCTTCTGTTTCTTTTTTTTATTATTTTTTATTATTTTTCCGCCGTGTGATTTTGAGTTTCAAGATTTATCGAAAAGATTTTTAGTCCATAAGAATGTACTTCATTAAAGATTTTCGCAGTTGACCCTGCGTATATGAACTTTGATCCCTTTCGGAGTTATTACCCCTTTCGCAAGAAAGCTTGTTATCGCTACTCCTCCGAAACCATAAACCGTAGAGAAATGAAACCTTCACTATTGTCTTCAACTAATTTAGTAGACATTCCAATGATTTATTGAGAAGGTATTCATTGACCCGTTCAAAGAGTTATTGCCCCTGAAACTGTTTGAATTTTACAAATAATTAAAAATTTTCAAAACCAGAAGTCGTAGAGATATGAGACCAACTGCATAAGATTCATTGACCTTTGACCTTAAAATTCATTTAAAGGTCAAAGGTCAAGGTCATTCCAAAAACGAGTAAAATAGCTCTTTTTATATCTCTTTTGTCTTTCATCATATAGTTAATGTGTATGCATCATTAATATGTACTTTTAAAACTATTTCAAAGATTTCATTCTTGTCCCTTAACATTAAACCTTTTTAAAGTTATAGCCCCTTTTGCGAAAAACCTTGTTATCGCTACTCCTCCGAAACCATGAACCGTAGAGAAATGAAACCTTCTCTAATGTCTTCAACTAGTTTAGTAGACACTCCAATGATTCATTGCAAAAGTATTCGTTGACCCCTTCAATGAGTTATTGCCCCTGGAAGTAATTGAATTTTACAAATAATTAAAAATTTTCAAAACAAGAAGTCGTAGAGACATGGGACCAACTGCATAAGATTCATTTACCTTTGACCTTAAAATTCATGTAAAGGTCAAAGGTCAAGGTCATTCCAAAAATGAGAAAATCAGCTCTTTTTGTATCTTTTTTGTCTTTCATTATATATTTAGTGTCTATGCATCATTAATATGTACTCTTAAAACTGTTTCAAAGATTTCATTCTTGTCCCCTAAGATTAAACCTTTTAAAAGTTATTGCCCCTTGTGCAAAAAACCTTGTTATCGCTACTCCTCCGAAACTGTAGACCGTAGAGACACCAAACCTTCACTAATGTCTTAAGGGTCTTAAGGCATAACTTCACTATATAAGTGGAAAAGGATCTGATGAACCCTTATATGAGTTATTGCCCTTTAACTTCTTTGTACTTCCTATTTAACCTCATAACTTGAAAACTATAAGTCATAGAAGCATGGGGTCAATTGCATTGTGACCCTTGACCTTTGACCTTGAAAATTTTTTCAAGGTCAAAGGTCAAGGTCATATAATTTTTTTTTCATTTTTAATTTTTGCTATCCTTTAAGACAATTTTGGTTTCTTATTCATGGAATTAAATTTTAAAACAAAATTAAAATTCAAAGAAGGTGGAAAGACCTCTTATTGTTTGAACAATAAGTCTCCTAGTTATGTTCCCCAAACGAAGTTGGGGAACATACTGTTTTTACTCTGTTTCTTATTATTATTATTATTATTATTATTATTATTCCTGGGAAAATTTTGTCCTCGAGTGATCTTGTAAACTACACATCCGAGTAAGGTAAAATGTTTTTAGGGTCAGTAGACATGTTATGTAGATTTGCCGAACGAAGGTCATTTTGCGCGCACGTGCTTGCAAGAGCGCGCACGTGCAACACGTAAAATGACCGATTTAATTGATTTTGGAGTAACCTTTTACTTTTTAGATGAAATGCTTTGAAACTCATAATATAAGGATATATTAGTGGCATAGACAACATGAAATGGTCAAAATAGCAAGATCTCACGCGCATGCATGTGCGCTTTGCTCTGATTGGCTGAAACTAAAGTCTCCATATCTTTCTTGTTTTTTGACAAAATCCTTTGAAATTTTGAAAATCGACATGCATTAAGATACCCTACAACATGATATATAGCAATTATCATGAAAGCATGTGCATGCACGTGCGCTGCAATCTGATTGGCTGAAACTTTAAATAGCTATAACTCCCTTGGTTTTCAACCATACAGCATGGGATTTGGAACATAGATAGATATGATAAACTTCTACAAGAGGGTATGGTCAACATGCACATGCATACACGTGCGTGTACGTGCGCTATAATCTGATTGGCTGAAACTTTAAATTGCTTTAACTCTCTTGGTTTTCAACCAAACAGGATGGGATTTAGAACATAGATAGATGTAATGAACTTCTACAAGAAGGTATGGTCACCATGCACATGCATACACGTGCGTGTACCTGTGCTATAATCTGACTGGCTGAAACTTTAAATAGCTATAACTCCCTTGGTTTTCAACCAAACGGGCTGGGATTTAGAACATAGATAGATGTAATGGACTTCTACAAGAAGATATGGTCATCATGCTCATGTATGCACGTGCATGCACGTGAATTGAGTAAAATCAAAAATACACTTGAATTAGCGTAATTTTTAATACTTTTGGATTAAATACTTTAATATTTAGTATATTAAAATTTAAAGATTGTGTAGACAAGATAATTTGGTCATTACGCACATGCGTTCACATGCGCACTCGTGCAGTGCTAAAATTTGGATGAACTTGGCGTTGTTAAAGTCTCAAATACATAGTTTTTGTCCTATTTAATGAAGCTTACAGGGAATATGGCACCAAAAGGGAGTTGGGGAGTGTTTGGGGAACATCTGTAACGGTCCCCGTTACAATTAGCACTAGTTATTATTGTTTTTTTTTCTTAACGATTTTGTGCACGCGATTTCTCAAAAACGGCTCAACAAAATCTTATGAAACTTTCAGGACGTATGGAACATTACTTGAACCTTATGCGTTTTTTTCCGTTTCGATGACGTCACTTCCGGTCTAGAGATATCGTCGATTTTCTGATTTTTAAGGGTCATTTTGTCCACAATTTTCCCGAAAAAGGGCTCTAGATAGAAACTTCAAACTTTGAGGCTAGGTAGAGCTATGTTTGGAGAGGTGCATCAGGTATATCAAATTAACCGGAAATGACGCACGTCGGCGCTCGCTATGGCCCGAAAATAGACCTATCACCAATTTCCAAATTTCTCACACCTTTTCTTCAATATCTTTTTACCTGAAAATATTTTGTGAAAACATAAAGAACAAAAGTATGTAGAATTCCAAGATCTTTCAAATGATATCTCAAAAAAGGGCTGGCCCCTAAAATTAAGGGCCTAGAGGGGCCGAAAGTTTTTCCTTTATATCTCAAAAAGTATTGAGAATTTGAAATACGTCAAAGAAGCAAAGTTGTTCAAAATGTCAAGCTTTATCTAACGGGGTCGTCAAAAAACGTCCGTCGACGTCACTTCTGGTCAAACCGGAAGTAGTCCAAAATTGCATGTTTTTGCTGTTCTTGACAGGTTTTTGGATATCATATGTCACTAGAAGCTTAAATCTTAATTTTCCGTCCGTCGACGTCACTTCCAGTCAAACCGGAAGTAGCCAAAAATGGCTTAATATAGTAATAACTAACATAGATTTGGAGAATTAAACCATTTTTGGACTTCATTACTCTTTTTTTTTAAATGACAGTTACTTCCGGTCAAACAGGACGGAAGACCTACTCGTTGCTTTGCAACGAGCTCGGCTCTAGTTCACTTTTATTATTCTTTTTTTTCTTACCGATTTTGTGCACGCGATTTCTCAAAAATGGCTCGATGGATTTCCATCAAACTTTCAGGACTTATGTAACATTACTTGAACCTTATGCATTTTTTTCCGATTTGATGACGTCACTTCCGGTTCGGAAATATTGTCGATTTTACCATTTTTGAAGGGTCAGGTTGTCCGCAGACTTTCTAACAAATGGCTCTAAATAGAAACATGAAACTTTCAGGTATGATAGACCAAAGTGTATAGATATGTATAACGTAATTCATTTTTATCGGAAGTGCCGCACGTCCGCGCTCACTATGGCCCGAAAATAGACGTATAGCGAATTTCAAAAATTTTAACACCTTTTCTAAGATATCTTTTTACCTAGAAATATTTTGTTAAGACATATAAAACAAGAGAAGTGTAGAATTCCAAGACCTTTCAGATGATATCTCGGAAAAAGGGCTGGCCCCTAAAATTAGGGACCTAGAGGGGCCGAACGTTTTTTCTTTATATCTCAAAATCTATATAGAATTTGTAACACGTCAAAGAAGCAAAGTTGTTTAAAATGTCAAGCTCAATCTATTGGCGTCGTCAAAATTCGTCCGGCGACGTCACTTCCGGACAAACCGGAAGTAGTCGGAAAACGCGTATTTTTGCAGTTCTTGACAAGTTTTTGGGTAACAAATGTCTCTGGGAGCATAAAAATTAATTTTACGTCCGGTCACACCGGAAGTAACAAAAAATGGCCTATTTTGCATTTATTAACATATCTTTAGAGGATTCAAGCTATTTTGAGGAGTTATTTCTCATTCTTGTTTAAAAAAATCTACTTTCGGTCAAACGGAAGACCTACTCGTTTCTTTGCAACGAGCTTTGCTCTAGTTATTTTTTTTTTTTTATTTTTTTAACAGATAACAAGATATACGTAGTAGGTGGGATATCGTCACAGCTAGACCACGCCCTGAGTGACGTAGAATGTTTTGATCCACAAAGAATCTATACATCAGAGGAAATACCTTTCCAAGTCCGCTGGATCCAATATGCAGTTTCCAAAAGATAAAATTAAATTCTGCCAACTAAACTCAATTTTGTGAAGAAAGTTAATATTCACCAATTTATAAACATTTTATGAATTCTATGATTTGATTTTTCATGTAATAAAAATAGTAAGGATTGAAATGTAAGCGATTAATTATAACATTTTGATACATAAATAAAAGTATATGAAATATTTAGATCATTGAAGTGACTTATTATTAAGGGGCATTCTCAGAAAATCATTAAAAATCTAAAAAGTTTAACTCAAAAACAAGAATTTACGTACCAGGTATTTTTTTCGCGCCGAAATGTTTTGTGATAGTCCGAAATAATATCTTGTTATCTGAGGTTTTCCAGGCCCTTTTTTACGATTCTGATATTTTACGTGCCAGGAAATATCGAAATGTAAATATTCATGCATGGAAAACGTTAGATATTTCTGACTAAATTTATTTAACAGACGCAGAGATACTCTGTACAGTAACTCTGCAAAACCATGCACTGTGTTCTGAAATTGTCGTGGATATATTTTATAAAGAACAAGATACATGTATCTGAACTACATGTTTAAAAAGAAGAAAGATTCGATCAGTTCTTATAAAAAAAATAATTAGAAGAGGTTTTTGATCATAACTTCCCTGATTGATTTCAGATGAAAATACAGCTTATCTTCTAGGTTAAGAATAATGTTGCAAAGTTAAAGGAACATTAACTGCTTTTTTATCAACTTTCATGTAAGTGCGAGCTGATTGGTTCTGAATGTTATAACAGTTTTAACGTAAACTTTCTGGTCTCAGCATCCAGACTCAGAGTTCAAAAGTTTAAAAATTCCCAAATCAAAAGTTTTTCTAACTCATAGTGGTTTTCTTAGATATCAATTATGTCCCCCTTCGAGAATGGAGGGCAATATGCTTTGCTTCGGTCGATCGGTCGGTCCACTTAGTTTCCGTTCATTTTCTTCCCAACCGTTGCACATACTGAAATGAAATTTGGTATACAAATTTATCAGAGGAATATCTAGGTCAAAATCCGTTTTGGGTACGATGGCACCTTTTTTACAGAGTTATGCCCCTTGGACTTAGAAAAAATTCAATTATTTGTAGTTTCCGTTCATTTTCTCCTCAGAGGTTGCACATACCGGAATTAAATTTATTATACAGTTTTATCAGATAAATATCTAGGTCAAGTTCTGTTTTGGGTACGATCGCGCCACTTTTGACAAAGTTATGCCCCTTGGACTTAAAAAAAATACAATAATGTTGGAGGGGGTCATATGTGTTTTACAAACATCTCTTGTTTTAAACCAAGAATTTAATTTTCCATACCTTGTGGTTTTCAGTGTAATATAGTAAACAACAACTTCAAGTCTTTGTAGGAGGAAGCGTACTGTTAAGAATCTCGAACTATTTACATTCTTCTCCAAAACCACTAAACCAATTTCAACCAATCTAACCACAATACCTTCTTGGGTGAAGAGACTTTAAGTTTGTTCAAATGAAGGGTCGTGCCTTCATTCAAGAGGAGACAATTAAGAAATACATGGATGCCTTGCGCCAATGGCAGTTTATCTTTTCTATCAATATCACCACCCGGAAGTTCCTTGTTTGACCCCGTCAAAGTAGATGATCGGGGACCTTCGACCAGTGTTCTATGAACAGACAAAAATGAAAATATTGATTGAAGTAGGTTCAAACTGTACGATTGTATAATTGACAAACTAAAAAATTCAACCAGATGGTTTTAATTAATATTTCCTGGATAAATGTTATTTTATCTTCCTGTTAGATAGTTTACTTAATATAATTATTTAAACTCAAGGTTCAATGGTATCGGGCAAGGCGTTAAGTATTACGATATACATGTAACTTATGTCAACATAATACAATAACACTAAACACATGATTGAGAGTGAACTTTATTAATAAATATTTTGGTACTTCCCAGATTTCAAACGGCGGTCAGTATTCGTGATACACTACCATATCAGAACACTCGGAGCGCCAATAAAGGTATTGTATATCATATACTTACATGTATGTATAGTTATTTAGAAACTATTGTTCAGGGTTGTATTATACTTAATCATATTTCTTGAGATGTTATTTTCTTTCAAGATTTCTTTAATAGGTTTTCAAAGGTAACACCCTTAGGGACAAAACCTAGGCCTTTCAGCTGCCGCTAGGGGTCGGTGTTATGAACAATAACTCACTGCTGAAACTTGTATAGAGCAGGCTCCTGGTATCTACCTATTTACACGCAAGGCAGTTTTTAGCATTTCCCAAGTGTTTCTTTGCTCTCAGTAGAATCCAGTGGTTTTAAAATTTAGCACCAATGTTAAACTTATTTACTGTATAGTTGCGGACACAGGTTTACTGCATATAATTAAAATAAAAAGTGAAATCTACCCTCCTTCTCAGTTCTAACCTATTTAAATTTTTATGCTCGGTCGTTCCCCTTCGTGCTTAGTAACACAAATAAGATGATCAATTGTTGCATTTACTTGTAAAAATATATATATTTACACAGGAAGCGAAAAAGCGCGAACACAAAAAATATGACATTAAATTATCTTCTTCATAATAATCGTCAAAGAGAGTTAAAACTATTGAATATAGTCTGTTCCCCATTCATTTGACCCTGTTATTTCAGGTAGAGTGAAGGCAATCTCTTTCTTTTGGTCAAAACCTTTTGTGTACAAAACAATGTAAGGAACCCTTTTGTGTATAACAATACCAATGCTGAAGCAGCCTATATGTCATAAACGATAACTCATAAATCGGCACTAAGTTGGTCATTTTTCACACCTGAGTTACCTGTCCTTAAACACAACATAGGAAAAGTCAATTATAAATGATTAAACTTTTTAATGATGTAATTAAAAGTATGCATAAGTTATCATCTTTTTTGATAATTTCATGTACCTATAAATCTATCTATACAATGTGTTTTACCATATGTGCAACTTGAAAGTCCTACAGTACCCACCCTACCCCACTCACCAAAAGATTTTTTTAGCCATTGATACCCCTGTATGATAGCTCAGTGGCATGGTTAAAGTGAATCGAATGCAAGTCAAACTCCAAGGTCAAGAGATCATAGAAAGTATCTTCTTACCTGGGGTATACATGGAATATAAAAGTCCTTGTATTGGTCATTCTCAGAAATAATGGACAAAGTTTTTTTTTTATTTTAAGTTTTTCAAAAGCAAATCAAACTTTACGATCAAAAGGAAAAATATCTGAATCCAAAGAAACGCCTTTTCATATTAAGTAAAACACGAGTGAAATATTATACAAATAAAAGTTTAGCTTGCATCAACTGTCGCAAAGTTATGGTTTTAAAGATTTTCAAAAGCAGTTCGTACTCAAAGGTCAAAGTCGGAAAGGTAAAACTGATATTCATAGCAAAAGGAAGGTCATGCATCTGTTCTAAAATTATATATGATCAAGATGAAGTATTTTTCAAAGGGTAAGTCTTGTTTTAAGGTCAGGGGCTAGGTATCCATTGAAACGCCTTGTACTCGAGTGAATTGCAAAATTCTTAGCACCAGCCATACAAACTACACGGCAAAGGATTACTTTTTCCATGAATAAGACATACTTCATTATCAAAAGGTCCATAAGGTAAAACCGAAAGGTCTTTTGATAAGAATAATGTAACGCCAATGAAATATTTAAGTCCGAGTTTAAACCGTTCAAAGGACATACCAATATAACACGATGGTTGTTTTCAATGAACTTTATTCCATTTATAGTGAAACAAGTTGACAATGTTCCTACAATTATATAATAATAATAAAAATTTCTGTACAACTCTCAGTATAGAAATCTTCTGTTTACAAATCTTTGAAATTACTTCACATATTTGTCAATGATCATTTTATCTAAAACCATTTCTCTTTATATCATTCATCCCATAATAAATTATATAATTAAAATTTATACACACAGCCTTCGTACATAATAAACTAACATATTACCTAAGCAAGGGGCATATGTGGCGTTTACATCATCTGGTTCATTAATGCATCTATTCAAGGATAAAAATACACAACTATAGATATTTATATGATTAAGAAAAACTTGCAATTAATCTAACCTCATGAGTTCTACAATCTCTCATGTAAACGATGAACACTGACTTCAATAGAGAGACTATTTACAAATTAAAAATATCTTTAAATTAAGTTTAAAATACTTCTTAATGCATGCTTATAATGTTTGCATACTTCTTTGTTTCATACACAATGCTAGTTGCAATTATGAATGACAAATTTTCACAATTTAATTCTACTTACATTCACTCTGATATTTTTCCGCCAACAATGGCTAGGATAATCCCTGTTGAGATTCTGCTAGGCTAGATATTTGGACTGACGCCGTCGCAGAATCCCTGGACGACTACTAATAATTCATGTCTGGAGATCAAGTCCCAACTTCGGTCGGTTATAGCAAGAATTATTCGCCTAGACCACACTGCCGTTCGCTTCAGTTAAGTCATTTAGTTGTTTATTTGACTCTCTGTCACTATTATTTCCACACAGCTTACCGTTTAGGCATGTAAATCCCAACATAAAAATATTCACTGAAATCTCAGTTCAAAATATGGCTCCCGTGACGACATTGTTTACCTCCTCGAATAAAAGAGTTCCTATAGTCTGTTTTTATCCTATGTAATTCTGAACCAAGTATAATGTGACTATTGAACATCACATAGGGTAAAAACAGACTATAGGTAAACAATTTCGTCACGGGAGCCATATTTTGAACTGAGATTTCAGTGAATATTTTTATGTTGGGATTTACATGCCTAAACGGTAAGCTATGTAGAAATAATAGTGACAGAGAGTCAAATAAACAACTAAATGACTTAATTGAAGCGAACGGCAGTGTGGTCTAGGCGAATAATTCTTGCTATAACCGACCGAAGTTGGGACTTAATCTCCAGACATGAATTATTAGTAGTCGTCCAGGGATTCTGCGACGGCGTCAGTCCAAATATCTAGCCTAGCAGAATCTCAAC